ACTAAGTAAGGCAGAGGTTAAGTTACTTGCCTAGGATAACACACTTAATAAGTGTCTGGGGGAGGATTTGAACTCTCTTCTTCCTGACTCTGAGTCCAATACTCTATCCACTGTGCCACCTAAATAAATTAAAAATTAAAAATAAATGTCTGCTCCCATAAACCAGTGGGGCTGGAAGACCCAAAGGGTTAAGTTCAGTAGGGGACGAGCACAGCATCTGGCCCAATTTGTCCCAGGTTAAGGAACTGGGGGGAACTGATGTCTGGGACTGGGGAACTTGCCTTGCTTTAGGAAGAAGGACATACGACCCATCATCCCAATGGGATGAGAAGTCGTATACCTACGTCGGTGATTGAAGGAAGTCAAGGCTGGTCCCTCCCCACATCCAAGCAAATATCTGCACCACCAAAGAGGCCTGGGAGCTCGAAGTCCTGAATTCAAATCTCTGCTCTGCTACTTTAGTACCTGGATGACTTTGGATTCAGTTTAAATGAGAAGGCTGGGCTAGAGGACCTCTGAATTCCCTCCTAATTCTAAACTCTATGATCCTATGATTCCCCGCCCCCTCCACTTTCTGGAGGAAAGTGTCTCTGCTTTTCCAGTAGAAAAGCTGATTTTTTAGCCAAATAAATTTGGTCAAGTCACACAACCTCTGTGAACCTCAATTTGCTCATCTGTAAAATGAGCATAATGACCCTTGCCCAGACAACTCCAGGGACTTATTATGAGGATCAAATGAATTAACAGATGTGAAAGCACTCTATAAAATAAAAAGTGAGATACAACTGTAAGGAATTGTTTTTAGAATGAGGAGCAGAGGTGACCTGGGAGCTCTGCAGTAATGCTGCGCTGGGAGGAAGGAGAGGCTGCCGTGAAAGCATGAGGAGAGGATAGAGGAGTGAACACCACACCTAAATCAGAACATTAAGACTACCCCGGAAAGTAATGGGATATCAGCCTTTACCTTTCACACTTAACTCAGGAGGCACCAAAAAGGAGAGGAAAGGAAGCAATCTGTTCTTCCCTAAAACTCTTGCCTGATACCTGAAATTGAAGGGACTTGTCCAGCCAGAACATCATGCAAAAAAGACAGCATTTCATAGTGGGTAGAACAGAATCAGGAAGACCTAAGTTCAAATCCCAGCTCAGCTGGGTGACATTGCACAAGCCTCTTAATCTCTTTAAGACTCAGTTTCCTCATCTGTAAAATGAGGATATTGGACTCAATATCCAGGATATGGTCCTGTGATCCTACAGTGAAAGAAGGCTGACTGGTGAGGAATACTGAAGGTTCAAAGGGAATACTGAGGTGAATGAGGAGGAAAACACTTGTAGCTAGAGGAAGAACATGGGAATAGGGGACATGAGGGAATCTTCTTCTCTGTTAGCCCCTAAAAATAAAATCATCTTAACAAGATCATATAACCTCAGGGTCATAAGGTATTTCAGAAGCCATCCATTTCAGGGTCTTATCACCTCTTGCCTGGATAATTGGAAGGCATCTTAATTGGTTCTCCTGCCACATGTCTCTCCTCTCTCCAAACCATCCTCCACACAGCTGCTGAAGGGATTTCCTTTTTAGGACCTGACCGTGCCATTCCCCTACTCAATCGCTATAACCCCCTATTACCTCTAGGATCAAGTGTAGACTTCTCTGTTTTCTGTTTGAAGCCCTTCATAATCTGGCTCCAACTCACCTTTCCAGGCTTATTGTACAGTGCTCCCTTTTGTGGATTCTGTGGTTCAACCAAAATGGCCATCTTGCTGTTTCTGAGCTCATCTTCCATCTCATATTTTCATGTCTTTGCAAAGACTGTCCTCCATGAATCCAATGCACTGTCACCTCATCCCCACTTAGAATCCCTAGAAACATATCTCAAAGACCACCATCTACACAAGTCCTTTCCTAATCCCCTCAGGTATCACTGTGTTCCCTCCCCCCATGCTTTCGTCCTAAGTAACCTTGGATTTATTTTGTGAACATGTGCGTATATATGGTTAGGGACTGGACCTGTGATTTCGCTGATACAGGTAAATAACTCCTGAACAAGGAAACCCCCTCTACCAAAGTAGTTTGTCACCTTCCCTGTAATATATAGTCTTAGGAAGTTAACTAGAGAATCAAAGTTAGGTGACTTGCCCAGGGTCATACAGTGAGTATGTGTCGGAGGCAGGACTTCCAGACTCGAGGCCAGCTCTCTATCTCTCTTATCTTCTATACCCTGTTGTCTGTCTTATGTGTGTATGTATATACGCATCTATATGGATATCTTGTTTCTCCCCATAGAATGTAAGTTCTTAGAGATTGTCTTTCATATTGTCTTTGAATCTTTCGTACCTAACCCACCGTTTGGCACATAGTAGGTGCTTAATAAGTATTTGTTGATTGATTGGTTGATTGAGAGTCCAAATCATACCTGAATAAGAATCTTCTCTAAAGTATCCAGAACAAGGCAAGATGCAGTCTTCAACTGAATACCTCAAGAGAGGAGGAATTCATTTTCTTCCAAGCCTAAATCACTTCTGAATAGCACTAAGCATGAGGAAGTTCTTTCTTTACGTACTGCCAAACTTAGACTCAGTGCTGTTAGGGGACAATCAACACAAGTCTAAGAGTTCTTCCATATGTTGTTATTCGGTCATTTTTCAGTCGTGTCCGACTGGAGTTTTCTTGGTAAATTTACTGGAGTGGTTTGCCATTTATTTCTCCAGCTCATTTTACACATGAAGAAACTGAGGCAGAGTTAAGTGACTTGTCCGTGGTCACACAGTGAGGAAGTGTCTGAAGTGGGATTTGAATTCAAGAAGATGATTCTTCCTGACTCCAGGTCTGGCATTCTATACACTGTGCTACCTAGCTGCCCCATGTTGTCTTCTACATGACAGACCTCCAAATACTTGAAGACATGATTCATATCTCCACTTATTCTTTTCTCCTCCACATTAAACATCATTTCCTCCAATCATATCATAAACAGCTAGGTGACACAGTGGATAGAGCAGTAGGCCTGGAGTCAAGAAGACCTGAGTTCAAATCCAGCCTTAGACACTCCTGTGTGACTCTGGGCAAGTCACTTAACCTCTGTCTACCTCAGTTTCCTCATCTGTAAAGTGAGGATAATAGTAACACTTACCTGCCAGGGTTGTTGTGAGAATCAAATAGGATACTATTTGTAAAATTCTTAGCACAGTGCCTAGCACATAGTAAGCACTTTATAAGTGCTTGTTTCCTTCCTTCCTAAATATTTTAGTTATGAGATTGATTGTTTGAACCCAAGGGGAGGACTTTGGTTTTTGTTGTTTTGGGTTTTTTTTATTTCACCTGATTAGAGTCAGCCTAATGATTTAGCCCAAGGGTTAACAAAGTACAGGCAAAGAACCAAATCCTCCCCCATTCCTTTTTATATGCTCTCTCCCCACCCTAGCTAGAAGAGATTTTTTTTTACATTTTTAGTACAATAAAGTTTTATTTTAAAATGTAACAGCCCTTCTTAGCTCCCCAGGGGCTGCACAAAAAGGCATGCTGCTTGGGCGGTAGTTTTCTGACACCTATTCTAACCTATAAGATCATTTTGGATCTTGACTCTGTCCTACATGTTAGATCTCCCTCCCAGTTGTATGTCTCCTGCAAAGTTGATAAGCTTAGCTTTTATGCTTTTATCTGAGCCATTGATAAAAATGTTCAAACAAACAAAAAAACAAAAAACAGGGTCAAGGACAGATTCATGGGAGACTCCATTAGTCAAAGTTGATATTGAACCATCAATGAGTATCTTCTTAGGAAACACTGGTCACAGAAATCAGTAAGATTATAGATTTAGAACTTGAAAGAACCTTAGAGATCATTAAATCTAAACCCCCTAATTTTATGGATGAAGAAACAGAGGTTGGGAGAAGTTATGTGACCTGTCCAGGATTACAGAGCTAGTAAATGGCAGGATTTGAACCCAGGTCTTCCTGACTCTATTGCCCAAAAGTCTATCTGATATGCCGCCTAGCTGTCAACAGATGGTATAAATCTGTGGTCTTGAACTTATCCATGGTGACTGTCACTGGGTAAGCTTGAATCACCAACCTTTTGATTAACACCTTAATGTCCAAAGTGATTATGCCACAGAGATGGCCTATGGGATAGAATAGATCATATTTCTATAAGATCTGACATTGTAAGAGGCCTCAGAAATAATCTCATTCATCTTCCTTATTTTCCAGGTGAGGAAACTGAGACCTCAAGAGGTTAGGTAATTTGCCCAAAGCAAAGGTCTGACCATGTCTCTCAAGAGGCTCCCGGGGTTCCCTCTTGACTTTAGAATAAGATACTCACAGTCTGGCTTTGCTTCTACCTTTCCAGGCTGGTTACACATGATTCCCTCCCAAATACTCTGTTCCAGCCAAAGTGGCCCACTTATTGTTTTCTGCGCAAGACACTCCAACCTCTGTCTCCAGGCTTTTTCATTGCTGTTTCCTACACCTGGAATACACTTCTTACTTACTGCTACCTCATAGAATATATAACTTCCTTCAAGAGTTACCTCAATTCTTATGTCCTATCTGAGGCCTTTCTTAATCTCCTCCCCCTACATTATTTTATATTTACTTTTTATCACTCCATGTACACTTGATTCTGCCTACTAGAAGGTAAGTTCCTTGAAGACAGAGACTGGTTTGTTTGTTTTTTTTGTCTTTGTATACCCAATGCTTATCACAGTGCTTGGCATATAACAAAAACTTAATGTGTTTTTTTGAATGGGATAGATCAATGGATGGGTGGATGGGTGGATGGATGGATAGATGAGTGTTTGACTATAATTCTTGGTGTTGTCTGTATGCATGACTAAAATTTTCATTCACGTGGGACATTCTCCGCTAGAACAAATTCACTCCTATGCTCTTATTTAGTGGATAACCCTTACCCAACGTGGCAGCCTGGGGCCTGCTCTTGGTCACTAATTCCCAGTCAGTCAACTAATAAGCTATTTCTCTCCTGTTTGTGTCTCCAGAAAATAGGTTTTTTATTACTTTCCATGGTGGGCTGTACATCTCAGATGTGCAGAAGGAGGACGCCCTGTCTACATACCGCTGCATCACCAAACACAAGTACAGTGGTGAGACCCGCCAAAGTAATGGGGCCCGACTCTCTGTGTCAGGTAGGCAATGGACCCTCACAAGGCCAGGGTGGGAATGGGAGATGTGTCAAGATCAAAAGTGGGGAATTAAATAAAACAGAACTTCCATTGGAAAGGCCAGGAGTCAATGTCAGCACCATGGATAAGAGTACCCATTACATATGCAAAGGGCTCTAAATGGGGAGCAAAAGAATTAGAATACAGAGGTTCAATCCTAAATGCACTCTCAGTCTTGGAAAGGTGGCATATAAGCATGAAATTTCAAGATACTCAGCAAGCAACATATTTGTAGGTTCAGATTCATGAGATGTAATCTAGTCCTAGTATAATCTGTACCCCTAAAAGGAGAACTGAGAGAGAGAGAGAGAGAGAGAGAGAGAGAGAGAGAGAATGAGAATAAATATACAATGAGGACCTCCATCTGAGTCCTACTGGGATGATCCATCATGGAAATGAGATGACACTGCCTTCTTCAAAGCTATGCTAAGAATGAAAAGCTCTGCCAACTCCTACCATAAGAAATAACAGAGTATTGAGCACAATATGGCGCAAATTTAGAATTTGGAGTGAGGAAAAATGGGTTCAAATCCCAGGTCTGGTGATCACTAGCTTTGTGACTATTAATGAAGTCATTTTAGTTTTCCAAACCTCAGTTTCCTCATTTGTAAGACAGGGGAAAATGTTGACACCACCTATCATTCCAACTCTTGCACCTACCTGTTTATGGATTTATGTGTAAATCATTACATAAAAGAGTTAATATTTCATTATTATTACCAAGTTTAGAATATAGTACAGTTTGTATAGAATAGAAACTCTGCATCTACCCTCTTAGAACCAAACTAGCTAAGTTAAAAAAAAGGCTATTTACTAGAATGGTGACTATTGGGTGTTGAATTTTTTGGCCATGTGAAATCATGAAATCATTTTTACTAAAGATATGGAGGGGTTGCAGTCTGTGCCAATGGAGGTAGTATCCCTGCAGGTAGAATCACGAATCTTTTGAAGCATTAAAACATAATATACTAAGTATAGTTATACAAGATTACCACATAAAATTATTTATGTGATTTTTTTTAAGCATTTCTTTCCATCCAAATGAATGGATATTTTTGTCACCTTCATCTTTACCACTTCCCTTGTTCTTCAGAACTGGTATAAGTCATATAAAAGCCATATCTGGTGGGGATGGGTGGGGAGTATAATAACTGACATTTATATGGATCATTAAAGTTGGCAAGTGTTAAAAATATTATCTCATTTCAGCAGCAAATATTCCTACAAGTATATTGACCAATATACTTAAGTCAAGTCACTTAACCTCTGAATGTTCTAGGCAGTTCTCCAGGCAGCAGAGTGGATAGAGCATTGAACCTGGAGTCAGGAAGACCTAAGTCACTTAAACATTCTCTCAGCCTCAGTTTTCATCATCTGTAAAATGGGGATAATAATAATAGCACCTATCTCCCAGGGCTTTGCGAGGATAAAATGAGATAATATTTATAAAGCACTTTGCCAACCTTAAAGTGCTAAACGAATGCTAGCTATAAGGATGATGATGATGATTGATGATGGTGATGATGATGATGATGCTGAGAAGGTTACAACCTTCATTGGGAGAAGAAATTTCCCCATCCAGGAATTCCATTATGTGTGAAATCATAGGCCCAGTCTCCAAAGTTATATTGCATACCTTCGTTAAGGGCTAAGGAAAAAAGCAGCAAATATAGTTAGGAAGGATCATTTCCAAAAAGGCTTCCTGGAAGAGTGAGCATTAAAGGGAGATTTTGAAGGAGAAGGCCTCAGTTTCCCCCATCTTAACTTCCTGCAGAAAAGCCTTCCCTGCAGCAAATTTGCTACATTCCTCACCCTTATAAAAGGTCCACAGAACAATCACTAATTTTCATTCATTCATTCAATCATATCATTCCACTAGCATTTATTAAGTGCTTACTATAGAAGGCACTGGGCTAGATGCTGAAGATAAAAAAATCAAAAACAAAAATCAAAATGAAAACATCCCCTGCCTTCCAAGAGCTTACATTCTACTGTATAGAAAACCACTTGAGAATCATTTCTGTATTTTTACTAAGCCATGGTTAAAAATATTTTCTCTTCTGTTTCCTGTTATCCCTTAGAGCAGGATCCCCTGGAGAACAGAACAGGATATAAAACAAAGAGTCCTGCACCAGTAGCCAGGAGACTCGCCTTTTTGTTCTGGCCCAGCCACATACATGTCGGCTGTGTAACCTGGCCCTAACTCTCTCCCTGTCTGTAAGATAAGAGGTTTGGACTAGAAAACCTCTAAGGTCCCATCTATTGCTGACATTCTAAGTACTACTGGAGTCAGAAAGACCTGAATTTGGATCCCACCCCAGACACATTGATAGTGTGACCCCTTAGGCAAGTCATTTAATCTCTGTCTGCTTCCCAACTATAAAAGGAGGCTAATGAAAGTGCCCACCTCTCAGGGTTGTTGAGAATGAGATAATATTTATAAAGTACTTGGCACAGTGCCTGACGTATATAGTAAGTATTTAATAAATGTTTATTTCCTTCCTTTGTTTCCTTCCTCAGCCTCAGTTTTCCTTAGCTATAAAATGGGGTTAATAATAGTACTTATCTCACAGGGCTGCTGTGAGGATCAGATGGGGTAATATGTATGAAGTGTTTTGCAAACCTAAATGCTAGCTATATGAGGGACCCTCCATTTGAATCTCAATTCAAGTTGTCAGAAGCATGACTTCCTGAGCTTCTTTCTAATCTGCAGAGTCAGTTCAGACACACTACGGGTGAAGGAACAGCAACGCCTGGAAACAAAGTGCTGCTGATGCCAAAAGAGCACGGGTAGCACTGAGGGAATAGCGGCTTGATGTAGGGAGGAGAAAAGCGAGCATGCTCCCAGTTCCCGGCTCCCAGGCTGCCTCAAGAGGCCCAGGACCAGGGATGTGATCACTGAGCCCTGGGCAGACCACATCTGGGGGCCACCACACTCAGGAAGGCTGTTGACAAGCAAGAGAGTGTCCAGAGGAGGGGGAAGAGGAAGAGGAAGGATCTCAAAACCCCAAGAGCTTTGATTGAAGAAATAGAAGGAATGGGAGAAAAGAAAATTTCAGCATAGGGAGCTGTCCTAAAGTATTTGAAGGGCTGTCCAGTGGAAGGGGGATTTGATTTGCCTGCTTAGCCCCAGAGGGCAGAAGGAGGAGCAATGGGAGGAAAAGGCAGTGAAGCAGATCTAGGCTTCATTTAAGAGGAAATTCCCTTACAATTAGAATTTTTTAATAATGGAATGGACTGTCTCCAAAGGTAGTGAGCTCCCCATCCCTGAAATTCTTCAAGCAGAGGTTGAATGAATATTTGTTGAGATTAGCAACTCAGTAGTGGGGAACCGGTGGCCTTGAGGCCACATGTGGCCCTCTAGGTCCTCAAGTGCCACCCTTTGACTGAATCCAAACTTCACAGAATAAATCCCCTTAACAAAAGGATTTGTTCTGTAAAACTTGGATTCAGTCAAAAGGCCCCACCCAAGGACCTAGAGGGCCATATGTGACCTTGAGGCTGCAGGTTCATGACCCCTGGTAGGGAATTCCCTGTTCAAGTGTAAGTTGTACCTCTGAGGTCCTTTCTGACTTTTAGTTCTGTGACAAGGTCCCCTTAGCATGAGCATCTTCTTTGGGTCTGTAGTCCTATTATTAAATGTTACCTGAGAGGTTCACTACAAAAATTGTATATGTTGCTTAATGATGTTTTGCATTATATTTGCATGCCACTCACATAATATAGAAATAAACCTTCCAGGTCCAATTGAGTCAGGTATGGTGAACCCCACTAGGATAAACCCCTTGATGGGACTCTTCCTTGGGCCACCTGACCTTTCTACACATTGGGGTAGGAAGGGATTACCTAGTGCCTGTACCCCAGGGAAGATCCTTTCTTCTCCCCCTTTGTTATTGTGGGGGATGGTGATGGAGAGCTATTAATAATAATAATAGCATTTAAATAGTTCTTTAAGGTTTGCAAAGCACTTTACAAATGTTATCTCATTTGGTTCTCACAACAATCCTTTCAAGAAGGTACCATTTTTATCCCCATTTTACAGATGAAGAAACTGAGGCTGAGAGATTCAATGACTTGCCCAGTCAATCACACAGATAACAAGTATTTAACTCAGGTCTTCCTGGCTCCAAGCCCAGTCTTCTGTCTACTGTACCACCTACCTGGACTCTAAGGAAACCAGCAACTTGAGATAAGAGATGAGAAGGGAATATATGGGTAATGCAGGGACTCTGTTTTGATATATTGTGATAGGTTGATTTGTAAGTTTTCTCTCTTGGCAAAGATGCAACTATTACTAGGGCAGAGTGAGCCCACTCCTGAGTGAGTGCCCGCTCACTGACCACACTCCCTCCAACCTTCCTGTAAACCAAGCCACTTTCACTTTCCAATGATTCTTGCTCTCTCACAGGCTTAGTTGTCCAAAGTTCCTATGGTTTGGGCAACAAGTTAGCTATGTTGATATCTTCTGAGTTTCTAATCTTTTATTTGTGGAGGCCTAGCTAGCATGAATGCACCTCCTAGGAATGGGAAAGGGGCAGAGTACTTTCCTTCTTTGGCAACAGCAGATTGAATGGGAGAAGCTGCAGTGGTCTGAGCCCTCAGTCCCTAGAAATCCTCTCTCATGAGCAGGTATAAAGAAGGAACCTCAAGAGAGGCAAGAAAGAGAGTATCTGTCAGATCTATAGATAAGGGAAAAATTCATAACTGAAAGAGGAAGAGAGGGTTACAGAAGGTAAAATGGAAAATTTTGGTTATATAACATTAAAAAGTTTTTGTGCAAATAAACCAATTCAGCTAAAATTAGAATAGAAGCAGGCAAATGGGAAAAAATCTTTGCAGTAAGTTTCTCTGATAATTCTAAGCTATTTAGAGAATGGATTTAAATTTGTAAGAATAAGAACAACTGATAAATGGCTAAAGGATATAAATAGGCAGTTTTTAAAGTAAGAAAGCCAAATTATCAA